CGGGTTATTTCTGGTGTTAACATCCTAGAAGTTGACCCCCAAGTCCGGGTCTCACAATACGCCCCCTTTGTCGGCAGAGTGTTCACCGCGCTTCGCCACAGTAACCAGTGGATGACTTGCGCTCCCTCTCAACAGAGAATGCAGCATCACAGTAGACCATGAGACCTTGATGCTTAGTGGATTTTGCACCGCTAAACGTCAGTCCGAAATCATGCGTACCGTTCAGGTACCGAAATGCACGATCAATACCGTTTTGTACAGGTGCCGTTGGAGTCTCGGTTTCTTGGGCCAGCAAGCGCACAGTGGTGGACCGATCTGGTCTCGTTAGTACTGCTAAGTACAGTAAGGCACCGAGTGCCGGCTGAGGCTTGAAGCCACACAGCTCCTGCGCTTGGAACAGCTTGTTCGGGTAGTGTTCATCCATTGGAGTTGGCGAAGGTCGGCACTTGATCATTGCGAACCTTTCTAGTACATTGGACGCGTACTTAGCCTGACAAGCGCTCACTTTATCACCAGCCGGAGATCATTGAAGCTCCAGTACTAAAAAGTAGTTAACTTTTGCAAAATCGTTCACATCGTAGGCATTTTCCACGGCGAGCTTGAATGCTGCCAATGCTATGTCATCCGTGCCGAATATTAACATGTCATCGACGTAAATTAGCACAATCATCAGCTTGTCACCGCCAATCTTCACGAACAAACACGCGTCAGCTTTGCCTTGAGTAAACCCACAGCTGATGAGAAAAGCTGTCATGTTTTCGTGCCATGCCCTTGATGCTTGTCTTAAATCATACAACGTGCGACGGAGAATCCAGACGTAGTCATCAGCGTTTTCGTATCCTTCCACAGGTCCCAGGTAAATTTCCTCTCGCAACTTTGAGTTCAGAAAAGCGGTTTTAATATCGAGCTGTAGTCGCTTCATGCGACGCTCTACCCCTACAGCCCAGTCGTATCGTGCTGTGACATTATCGGGCTGAACGTTTCTGTATAGTCGTCACCAAATCGTT